ATATGAACCTAGAGTACCCCAAAACCCCAAAACCCCGTTTGAGTTAAATCATTAGAATAAGGAGGAAGGGAGGAATTTTAATAATAATTGATCAGATTTGTATTATAAAACATGGAATAATCAATTGTCTCCTCTAAGAGCTAAATTCAGCAGGCAAAGCTGCGACTCACAAAGACAGAAAATCAAGTATACTTGGAGTTGTTTCAGTAATATGCAGAGCCTCATGAAGCTAAGCCAGACAAAGTAAGCTCTCAGAGTTTAATGCAAATTTAGATGATAGTTAAGTAGCAATAAGTAAAGGTCTTATTTGATTAGTCTGGGTTGCCAAGTAGAATATTGATGAAGGTAAAGTTAATTTCTATTTTATAGAAGATTGCAATCCTGATCAATCCCATTAACTAAAGCATATTTTTAGGTATATGATATGGCTAGTGATCCAACTAAGGACTATCTAGATAAAGCTTAATTTATGAAAGCACTCAAACTGATAGCTATTTATCAGTAGCATAAATCATTTGATAAGGTTGATGAGTTAATTGGTTCATCAAAAGTCTCACTAGTTAAATTTTAGAATTAAAACAGCAAATAATCTGACAACTCGTTGTTATCAGCGTCCTTAAACTCCTAAGCATTAATGCAACTTGAAAATGAGTGTAAAGTACAATAAGAAAAAAAGAGTGATCTCTCAATGCAAAAATCATAGCAGCAGAAATAAATGCATTACGAGGAAAATAAATTGGAGAATGTGAGTTTAAATGAGCCATATTAAAGCTAATAAATTATGCAGCAGTTTAAATTTCAAGAATTCAAAGCAGACATTTAGTAACACCTTGCCGTTCACGAAGATAAAAATTATATCATGAAGTATGAAGAAGGTGAGGATGAAATTGAAAGATAATAAATGCCCACTTTCAATCATCAAACGCTTAATCTTAATATGAGGAGTAACAGTTATGATGTAAGTTCTTATAGAAGGATAATCAATAATTATAGGATGATTTGGTTGTAACAATTTTGGAGAGCTAGCAAATATCTTCTGGATACTTTGGAATGTCCTCATACACGCAGTATAAAATCTAGACCACAGTAAGTTTGATCTATTTATGTAATCTCGAAATAGTCTAAACTTGCAAACTATGATATGAATAAAATCTATGAAGTGTTAAGAAGATTTAGTGACTTTGAATGGTTGTATTAAATCTTGGTAGACAATCCAACGTACAAAGGCTTAATGATTGCTCCACTACCTTAAAAGAAGTATATGGGCAACTTAGACAATACATTTATAGAGAAGCGAAGACTCGAATTAGAAAATTTCTTGAAATTAATAGCTACACACTCTACTCTCAAGATGGACTAGCACCTTAAAGCATTCTTGACATTACCAAGTGAGGAATTTTTGAACTATCAGAGTAACCCGAGTAAATTTGAAAAAGTAATGGGCTTGCTTTAGGTGCTGCCTAGTATATAGAATTTAAGCTTGGAATCAATTACAGATGCTGTTTAGACTTCTTATGTTTCAGTTAAAAACGATTATACTCTGCTGAATGAGCCAAAGGAATTGCAGTTTGAAAAGGGCGATTAAAATATCAAAGAGGAGGAAACACAAAATAATCATCTGATTGTGTCAAAGACTGCAAAGTACCTAAGGAAATAAAAGGATGCTTAGATTAAAGAAGCAAAAGCCCTTAAAACCATTGGGGAGCTATTTCAAAAAATTCACAACTTAGACAATACCATGATTAATCTTAGAGATCATAAAATTACTAATTAGCCTAACATTTAATTCAAAACAGATGTATATAGGGACTTGAATGATGAAGACGATGATCAATAGGAATAAACTGCAGTTTTAAACACCAATCATATTAATATTTAGGAAGACTACGATCATCTCAATATTATCAGATCGGACACTCAGATTTACAGATTGTTTAAAGAGTTCTCACAAATATCTGAGACCCAAAATCAAAATGTATAGTGTGAGGCCTACGCTAGAGAAAAGTCTAGCCAACTTTAGGGAATTCTAAACGCCTTTCTTGAACGAAAGAATAGCATCAGAGGTTTTCTTAAGAAAGTTGACATTAGGAGTATCAAACAATAAAAGCAATCTGCTCTTCAAAATCCAAATATGCGATTTGAACTGAACAATGAGATTGCCTAACTTAACAGAGAGATTGCAGATCTAAAGAAAAACATTCTTTCTTAGAATTAAAATATCCAAAAAGAGATAGAACTTTTAGACAGTACAAGGCAACATCAGATGCGAAAACTCATTTAACACTACGCTCTCAATACAAATAAAAAATATTAAGAGACTCATTCCTATCTTGCATAGATCACATAATCTCTTCCCTGGCTAGACCAAGCTAAAAATCTAGTGATGTTTAGAGCCAGGTCTTGGTCTGATAGTAAAAAGAAATGAATCACTGCCAAAGTATAGATATCTTTTTTAGCTTGATGATTGTAATGAATGAGCTTTAGTTTGATGTGATTATTATAAGAGTATTGATTAGTAGAAACATATAAATTCTTCAAACTAATTCATTTGACTACTTTTAATATTAATAATATCTTTAGAATAAATTAAAATTTTGAAAAGATAGATAAAATGGGTGGATGTTGTTAATCACGCGAGAAAGAGGGTCATGTAAGGTTCTCTACCAAACAGGTCGCTGAAATTAGATTGAAATTTTAGTCATTAGGCCAACAGCATGTATTTGATAGCTATGAAAGACTGGACTACAATGAGAGAATGCATCTACTGAGAGATGCTTCATAACTAGATGTTATTTAGATAGAGAATCTCTACAAGAATTTGATACTCAACTAAGATGATAAGGATAGCCATCAGAATGAGAAAGATGCCAAACTGGAGCCTATTGAGCCAAAGATGGTTTATGATAGGGCTAGCATGAGCGAAAAGGATCTGAATGAGCTGAGAGAATTAGGATATTAGAAGATTAGAGAGGGTAAAGTAGCAGTAGTTATTTTAGCAGGGGGCTAAGGTACTAGACTTGGCTCTGACAAGCCCAAGGGCGAATACAACATTGGTTTACCTTCAATGAAGTCAATTTTCTAGATTTTAACTGAACGCTTTGTTAAAGCTTAAATGCTGGCAGCAGGCACTGACTAGGTTAGTGACGACATTCAAAAGTGTAAGTTACTCATAATGACAAGTCCCATTAATGACAGAGAGACTAAGAAGTTCTTCATGTTCAACAACTACTTCAAGGCGAACAGCAAGAATGTGATTCTCTTTGAGCAGGCCGTGCTCCCAGCAATCTCTCCTGAGGGTAAAATCTTGCTTGAGGGTCCTTAAAAAATAGTTATGTCACCAAACGGAAATGGAGCGCTATTCGATGCTGTGGGAAAGAACCCAATGGTCAAGAAGATACTAGAGGAGGTTGAGTATGTGCAGGTTATCGGAGTGGACAATGTGCTGAATAAAGTTCTTGATCCAGTCTACATTGGTTTCTCAGTCAAGAACAATTTGTAGGCAGCTATGAAGTCCTGCGTCAAGAGGGATGCAAAAGAACCAGTGGGTGTTGTTTTGAAGAAGAATGGGAAGTATGACATTGTGGAGTACTCTGAATTGACTGATGATGATGCAAATGCTGTTAATCCTATTACCAAGGAACTTAAATTCAACTTAGGCAGCATACTAATCTTTTTGCTAAGATCTGACAAACTACTAGAATTGTGCAACAATGCAGCAACTCTAAATCAGTTGTATCACAAAGCATTCAAGAATATATCTTATTGGGATTCTGAAAAGCAAGAGCTAGTAAAGCCAGATAAGCCAAATGGCTATAAATTTGAGCTGTTTTTACATAATTTTCTGCCCTTCTGCGACACAGGCAAATTTGGAGTCCTCAAGGTCTAGAGAGAAGAAGAGTTTGGCCCAGTGAAGAATGCTGAAGGCTCAGGTGTTGACTCACCAGATACAGCCAGAGAGTTGATATTCAGATTGAATGTTAAGTATCTCAGGAAAGCAGGTGCTGTGATTGAAAAAGACGCTGCACACATTGAAATTGATAACTTGCTGTCTTATGAAGGAGAAGGATTGTAAGATTATGCTGACGGCAAGAGATTCCCTCCACCTCACTATATTAAACATAACATTCCACACAACAATGCTAAGGGAGAACTCTTTATGTGAGAATAGCATTTAAAGCACAACAATCGCACAAAAATCATTGAAACATGAAATTTAAAGAAAGTAGAAAATTTTAATTTAAAAGTTAAGTATTTTCCTTATATGTGAGTATGATGGGGTTTTGGGGTTTTGGGGTTTTGGGG